TATATATATATATATATATATATATATATATATATATAAATTGAGAAAAATAGTTGAATTTGATATACTTAAGATTTAAGAATGAGTATAGATAAGCTGTACTAAGGGGCCGCTTACCAAATGTTTACCTGGGTAAGCGCTCACCAAGTAACATTACATCACCGGATGAATATGATAAGGACCAAGAATCTTACTCGATAAGAGCGAGACAAGGACCAAGAGTCTTACCCGGTAAGTGTGGGCGACGACTCTTATCACGATAAACGCTTACCGGGTAAATTGTTGCATACGATATCGTTTTGGTGGACTAAAATCTTACCCGGTAAGTAAATAATAATGTTAAATTTTACCGGTAAGCACTTACCGGGTAAGTGTTTGGTAAACGGCCCCTAAGTGATTGATGATAAAAAGAAATTATGAGTAGAGAAAACAACGTATTCAAGATAAGAAAAATATTTTAATGTACCAAATAAGTAATCCGATCAACCCGACTAACTCATACGGTTTGAGTTAGATTGGATTGCACTTTGGTTTATGTTGGGTACTTGGGATGAAATTTTTTAAACCGTAAACATTTGATTGAGTTGTTTAAATATCTAAAACCCGATCAATCTAACCCATGAACATCCATATTTCGTATGTCATGTTGGAACACCCTCTTACACAACATGCTCATGTGCGAATAACTTCCCTTTTTGTTTTATTCATTGCTTGATTGCTGGATTATTATATTCTCACTATAACAAAATTGAGTTTATAGGATGTATAAAATATTTGAATGTCATAATAAACTATTTTATCAGACTTACGTTTATAAAATCAAACAATAAGACATTTTATCTAAAAGTATTACAAATATGTATATAGAACGTTTTTAGGTGTTTTAACAAGTTTTTAAAACATCTTTAAAATAAAATGCCATATTAACCGTTTTTACAACACTTTAAAGAAATGTTCTATGCCCATCTTTTTATAGATATTTGTTCAAATATTATTTTATGAAATACCTAATACGATATTTTATTTTTAAATTATTTTAGAAACTCTTTAAAATACATAAAATCATATATAAACTTATTACAACATTTTAAAGTAAAAAATATTAGCTTTAAATTGTATAAAATCTATACTATGTTATAATTTATTTGATAAAAACTCTTAAAAACCATTTTTGATGCATGAAATACTATTTATTGAAGCATATTACTTAAAATTCAAGATTACAAATAATTTTGCGTAAGTACAACTTATTAAAACTTTATTTTTAAATTCGTGTAACTAACTGCAGATAAACATAATCAAAGAATAAACATCTATTTTAAATATAAAAAATCTAAAATGTAATTAAAATAATCATTGAGTTCTAACAAAATATTAATTATTATCTTTATAAAAAATTATATTGTTAAACCAAAAATAAATTACTATGTTATTAAATCTAAATTAAATTATAATAAAAAATTGAATTAAAGAAGTTACACAAAAAAATGAGAACTATTAAATAGTTAATTTGATACTAATATCGATTTATTTTTATAAATTTTTTATGTTATCTTCAAATTTATATTTCATTTAAAAATAAAAACATTATCGCTTTCTCAAAAACACATAAAATCGTATTATATCGATAGAGACAAAAAATAAAAACTAAATATTAAAATCAAGATTTATCTCACTATATTATACAAATACTCTTCTAGTATTTTATTAAAACATTTACACATGTTTTAATGTAGCATCAACGCAATTTCATTGTACTTTTTAGGATAAGTATTTTAGATATATAATAATAATAATTAGTAATAAAGTATTTCATTTACATACATATTAAATTAAATACAAAAAATTACGTTTGAAACCTCTGTAGTTTGTTGAAAATTTCTATTTTCATCCTTGTAATTTTTAAATTACAATTTTTATTTCTATAATTTATAGTTCATCGTTTTTATGATTTAATTTTTTTTTTCATTTATATGATTGATAATTTATTTCTATCTTAGTCTATAATACTTAGGAGCCGTTTACCCAATTACTTATCCGGTAAGCGCTTACCGATAAGAGTGAACATTATGATTTATTTTGATGTGTAAGATTTTGGTATATCAAAACATATCGAATGCAACAATTTACCGGGTAAACGCTTACCTGGGTAAGAGTCGTCATCCTCACTTACCGGATAAGACTCTCTATCTTTCTCATTGCTCTTACCCGATGAAATTCTTGGCTCTTATCATGTTCATCCGATGAGAAAATTTATACGGTAAGCACTTACTAAGTAAGTGTCTAGTAAACGGCTCCTTAATGTTTAACCTTAGGATGAAAATATAAATGAATCAGAAACCATAGAAATGAAAAACGTAATTTCAAAACTATTGGTATGAAATTTGTAATTTTTAACAAACCATGTGAAAAAAAACACATAATTGATTCAATAAAATATTATATTTATTTTAAAACAATTAATTATTAAAATAAAAAAGGTTGAACAAGTGGGTCGGTTCGGTAGCCACTAAAAGAGGCACTTTTTCAGTCCGCCCCAAAATGTTGGCCGACCAAAACTCGTATGTTTTTTGTTGCGATTTTTGCTCCCACGTGACAAACAAACCCCACCAATACTTATATTATAATTCATCTTACAAATTTATAAATATCTTATTCAAATATTATACTTATAATAAGGGCCGTTTATTAAACACTTACTTGATAAGTGTTTACCGGATAAATTTCCTTATCGGATGAATATGAGAATGATCAAGAATCTTACCAGGTAAGAGCGATGAGAATGATGGAGAGTCTTACCCGGTAAGTAAGAATGACGACTTTTACGTAGGTAAGCGCTTGCCCAGTAAATTGTTGCATTCGATATGTTTTGATGTACTAAAATCTTGTGCATCAAAAGAAATCATATGGTTGACTCCTATCGGTAAGTGCTTACCGGTAAGCAATTGGGTAAACGACCCCTAAGTATGTTGGAATTTGATTTCGATATGAAGTTTTTCTCTTTAGTTTTGTTTTCTGCAAGATCTAAAGTTTACTGAATGTTAACTCACAACGTTATTAATTAGAAACCTTTGATGGATTAACTACCTACTAGACTGTGAAAAAGCAAAACCACGAATCTTTCATACCATGAAATGGGGATGATCCTCGACAACTGCTATACCAAAAATCCGTTCTTTGGTGAGTTTAGAGATGAGATTTCTTCTTGTCCTTCCTACGGTAATAATTTGACTTTACTTCTTTATTAATTTTTAGAAAAAGATAAGTATTAATCTGGAAGAAAGTATAAGTTGAATTGAATGTGACTTAATTCTTATCCATTATGTCTAATTAAAGTCGACCACATGTATATCTTCTTTTTCATCAATCTTGAAGATGTTATTGTCTTTTTCTTCCTTCTTCCTTGACAATACTTATTATGGTGTTTTAGTGTCTTTTATGTTTGTAAGTTTGCCTTCAAGTCCTTAACAAATCCAACTATATCAAACACAACATCAATACCAACTTGCACATTATCAAGAATTATATATATATATATATACATATGTATGTATTGATGCATATACTTATTCATGAGTGTATATCTCAATGAATATACAATATGTGGTTCTCACATATAAACGGTCACTTTATATGTATATATCATATTTAATAGAGTATTTGTTGTCGTAGATCTCTTTGTTGTCATTTCTTGTTTCCGTTTTTATTATATGTTTCATGTATATCTCTTTGTAGAGTACATATTAATATACTATTTTATTTATATGTTTGTAAGAGTGTATATGATGGTAGGTCTTGTTATAATAGTTTAGCAAAACAACCACCCATAAAAAGGAAATTTAATTAATACCCTTGTCATAGTTTGGTGAAATTTTATTAACATTCTTTAAAGTAGCTCTACTTTCTTCCACAAATATAAAGGATAATTTGGTAATTTTAAGTATGGAGGACTAACTCATATCTTAATATCCATATTATATCAAATACAGTGACTTCGGGCTATCTACAAAGCGGGTAGTTGTTTTAGAATTAATCAGCTCACATAGCGGATTAGATATCCAGTGGTTATTTAACTACAATTATACATGCATGATACATATATACATGCATAAATATTATATATACATTTGGTTATAAGAGAAGCGATATCCATGCATAATGTTGATGTATACATTTTGCCAACAAGTCAAACAAACGCGGTTTCCACTTCTTCATCATCATGCATCCCACTCACTTAAACCCTAAACCTAACAACATAAATAACCCTTCATACACATCATTTCTTTCCATCATTCAACGCCATGTCTACAACATTCATGATCTTTGCTTCTTCTCTCCTGATCATCGCCACCGTAATCCACCCATGCTCCGCCACAATCCCCCGGAAACTAGCCCTCGTACAAACACCACCCACCGTCCTCAAATACCACAAGGGATCAGTCCTTCATGGCAACATCACCATCAACCTCCTCTGGTACGGCAGGTTTTCTCCCATCCAGAAAACCATAATCATCGACTTTCTTGAATCACTCAACACCCACCTCCCACCTCCGCCGTCCGCCGCATCATGGTGGCAAACCACCGCGAAATACAAAGGTGGGTCACGGAGTATTCACGTAGGGAAACAAATCTTCGACGAGAAATGCTCTCTTGGGAAATCGCTTAAGGATTCTCAACTCGTTTCTTTGGCTTCTAAAGCTAAGGGCTTTAATGTAATCAGCTTGGTGTTGACGGCGGCCGACGTCGGAGTCGCCGGGTTTTGCATGAACCGTTGTGGGACTCACGGCACAACTCGGGTTAACAAGGGTCATAACTTTGCTTACGCGTGGGTTGGTAACTCGGCGACTCAGTGCCCAGATCAATGTGCTTGGCCGTTTGTTCAACCGACGTTTGGCCCAAAAACCCCGCCGTTGTTGGCGCCGAACGGTGACGCCGGCGTCGATGGGATGGTGATTAACATCGCGACGGTGCTGGCCGGAACTGTGACAAACCCGTTTGACGGCGGGTATTTTCAGGGTCCGGCTACTGCTCCATTGGAAGCGGTTACAGCTTGCACCGGAATATTCGGGTCGGGTGCATTTCCCGGGTACCCGGGAACTACTTTGGTTGATAAGAAGACGAGGGTTAGCTATAATGCGCAGGGTGTGAAGGGGCGGAAGTATTTGTTGCCTGCTATGTGGGACCCTAATACTTCCGCGTGCAAGACACTTGTGTAATGACGTGTGATTTAATAATTTTTCAATTTGTTTATTTAAAATATACACAAAATCATTGTGATTTTTGTTTGGGAATTTACAAAATATAATTGAAATAATGGAGAAAAAAATGACATAATTCAAGTATTTGTTTTGACAAGGAATTTTGGAAAACTGAACTTGCCTTAAATATCAAAAATATATGTTATGCTTCTGACATGTAGCTCAGTTTATAAAAAGATGAGGACGACTTGTGTTTAAATAAAAGATATGTTTTGGGTTCTATTTTGAACCTCCCGTCAACATCACCCGTTTAACGAGTCAAAAAATGCGCTATCACATTGATGTATGTATACATATATAACCAACTTCTATCCCTCAAAAATTTCTCGTTAAACTTACTCATATACAGAACACTAAATACGCATTGAACATCTGTATTTTTAGTTCTTTCCACACCATGGTCTGACACTGTCTTAATATATTCTCGATGACTTGCAGCTGACCACTTTCCTGTTGAATCTATTCTGATTGATGATGACATTAAAACCTTATTAATGATAACACTTTGTATTTGTCATTTAAATCTCTGTAAAAATTCTTTCCGCCAAATTACGGTGAACATATGTCAACTTACGTATCGCTATGTAGTTATGTCTAATTCTAATCGTGTTAGGTCTAATTCCTGTTACTTTTTTTTTTTTTGGATTTATTTTGTTTATGTATTTGTACAAACTTAATGTGTTTGATAATATTTTGGATTATATACTTGATGTACTTTAAAATCGCAATAAATTTGTATTAGCTCAATGTGATCGGTAGCTACTTGATGTACTTTTAAAACTCAGTAAATATATATTAGCTTCATATGTACAATATCTGTTCAATAGTTAGTCGTAGCATTCTAAATTTCAATGATAGTGTTGAGTGTGATAAATGAGAAAAATCCCTACTTTCTTAATTATTTCATAGTGGGTTTTTTTTTGGGTAACAATGGATTTTCGGGACATCTTATGTGAATTGACTAATCCCGTGAGAGTTCACGAATGTCTGGAGTCATTGCAGATGAACCTTGATGGCTACATGAGCTTTGATAACGTCTGGATTCGAACCCAGGGTAGATCAGATTTTTCACTAGATCCCCTCTGAGATTTGACCAATGTGGCAATGGAATTTGAGCAAATCGTATTGTTACTCTGAAGGAAGTTCTTTTAAATTCTTTCAACGTGAAAAATTCCCAACTTTTTTAATCAATTAACGTTCGTTTGAATATAGTCTCGATAGACATTGAGCATATATTCAATTGTGTTTCTACGTTCTAAGATAAATGTGAATTTTTTTTTCAACATTTTTAAATGTGTCACTATGGTCTTCGATATTGAGTTTATAGGTCGCCTAAAATGTTTAAGTGTCCTAATAAAGTTCCTACAGAACTTAAGTTTACAGGACCAAAAAAATATAACGTCATATCTAAAAGTGATATAATAAGTTTATAAGACGTTTTTGAACATTGTAACAACTTTTTTAGGACTTCTTTTAAAAAAAATAATATGTTGTGTTAGTTATTTTACAAGATACTATTTGAAAAAAAATGTCATGAAAACACAATAGTTCTATAAAACGATGGGTTTATAGAGCAATTGTTAAAAGTATCTTATAAAATAGCCAATATGACATTTTTATTTTTAAAATGTTCTAAAAAACTTGGTAAGATGCCTAAAAGCATTATATAACTTATTACAAAACTTTTAAATAAAATGATCTATTACGACACTTGACCATTTGTTGGTGTCCTATAAACCCGATTTTGTTGTAGTGGGTAGTAATTTTGGTATACAAATATCTATTTTCCACCCAAATATTCTATCATTGACATTTTTATCAATTGATCAACCAACAATAAATTTTCATCTGATTTATCATAAACTTTATGGTTCATATTTCAAGCCAAAATGGCGCTACCATGTATTTTTTTTCAAGCAGTCTTTCAACAATAATAGGATTAAATCCCATCTTGATTCATGTCATCGTTGTCGTCGTATTCTTTGCTATCCTGCCCATCATTCCTGTCATTGAGCATAAATAGAACCGGTCGAGTATATATGTACCGAGCATGTATTTAATCAAGCCAAATTAATGATATCATAAAATTAAAAACAATCGAAGAAACAAGGGGGCTGTTTGGGCACTTGCTTAATGGTTTAGTGCAGAATGATTAAGTGATTAGAATGATTAAGAGACTCTCATGATATAGTGCAAAAGAGAATATGATTGTTTGGTAATTGTTTACAATGAAATTATAGCGTTTAATGGTTAAAGGAGGCTCATGATACAAAATCATTCAGAGGGTTTTAGAATCATTAAGAGGCAGGCTTTTTTTTTTTACAAACAAGATTCACCTCTTAACGATTCAGATGTGCCTCTTAATGGAGCTATTAAGAAGTAAACAAACAACCCCTTAGATTTTTCGTACCTAATATTTTAAATTTTATTGATTTAACTCGTAAAATCGTTCTTTAAATCGATCCATTTAAACGTTAACTTCGACAAATATTAATAGTTTATTAACGGGTACACTTATTATCTGTATTTTTATATATAGACACACATTCTTGAGTTAATTGTCAACCCATGCGTTATTTTACTCTGTATTTTTTAGCATAAACTGTTTAATCTATGCACATAAATTATCTTACATCAACAGCATTTCGATTTTTTGGGCGATTCATAATCTTGACACCAGTAGTGGATCTACGTCATTATCAAAAATCGTTTATATTAAAACAAAAACTACAAACGAACACCTACATAATTAGTTTCGTGTAAATTTTCTTACTTTATATTATAATATTAAAGAATTAATTAAATCACAAATAATTCAATATATAAATATTTTAGTAGATTTTTGGTTTTCTATTTATAATATAATTGAAGCAAATCTATTAAATTTTTCAACAATTTTAAATTTTATGATTTTAAAAAAATAAGAAAAAATCATATACTTCAATATGTATATTATTTTGAATTAAAAGAAATACATTTTAAATGACAAATATATGAAGAGCCCAATTTAATATCTTAATGATCCAACTTCTCTCACATTTGGCCCAACATTTTCCCTCTAAATCGAGTTATTTTAACATCGACAATCCTCTAGTTTTGTTTCAAATGTCGTTTTTTTGTTGTTCTACGTTTGAAATTCTTCATGGTTTCACCGATCAATTCAAACGAAGGAGAAAATTCATCAATCGACATGCCCTGCTGAAAAAGATTCAAATGATATTGAGATGCTTTTAGATACGGTTCTATCTATATTATAATATATAATCGTACGTGATAATATAGTCGATGTTAACGTAAATCATATGTATGGAAGTTGCGCTCTCATATATATATATATATATATATATATAGAGAGAGAGAGAGAGAGAGAGAGAGAGAAGGGTTCAAAAGAGAACCCCCTGTTCTACGAAAATGGGAGAATACTTATGGGTCTCCAGATTAATTAACACATAATAAAAAGTAGAATAAATGAAAATAAAAATAAATTAACACATAATAAAAAAAATAGATTAAATGAAAATAAATCAACATTTATCCATAATTTTCTGTTATCCTAGATTTATCTTTATCTCTTAAATTTTGTTATTATCATTGAAGACCTTTTATGTCGTTATATCCGTAGTTAATGGTGTGATAATACTGTGATAATGATTTGATAAATTGAAGATTGTTTTTGATATGATAATCATCTAATAATCATGTGATTTTTGTTGTGATAGCGATGTGATAATGTTGTGATAATCAAAAACCAACGATGATCATGTCTACATTAATTGACTTGTTTGTTCGTTATGTGATATATTGTGATAATTATTTGATACCAATTTGTGTATTATCTGTATGTGATTTTAGATATAAGGATATCAACCAAATTACAGATAAATACGAAATTAATCACATGATTATTCTTAATTAATTACTTTATTTTGTTTTAGTTTTAATCGTGGCTTAAATATTTAGAGGCCCATAAACGTTCTCGCATTCTCGTAAAACAAAGGTGTTCTCGTAAAATGATATTATGAAGAATGAACATCGAATACGACTAAATACTTCAATTGATTCTGTTAGATATTTGTTGAACGGTGCATTAGCATTCTGTTGTCATGACAATTCGGAAAAATTTGTTTACAGAGGAAAGTTCTTGGAACTAATAAGTTGATTCAAGAAAGATGAGACCGTTTGTAATGTTACATTACAAAATGCTCTGGGGAATAATCAAATGGTGGCTCCAAGTATCTAAAAAGACGTTGATTGCTATTCACAAGAAATACTCAAATCCACTTTTGTGGGATTGTTAATGGAAGATTTGTTGGACTTGTTCATGTGAAAGAGACTTCTTATTTGAATCTAAAACCTGCTATCGGATCATCATTTACTGAATATTATTGAGTTTAACAAAGGTCAGAGGTTAAGGTTACGATGGAGCAAGTAATATGTGTGGTGAGTTTAACGGTTTGAAAGCTTTGATCATTAATGAAAATAATTCAACATATTATCACTACAACAAAATTGAGTTTATAGGACATCCTCAATCTCTAAGCGTCCCAATAAACCGCTTTATAGGACTTAATTTATAAGACAAAAATATAAAACGTCATATCTAAATTTGTTGTAATAAGTTTATATGACGCTTTTGGACGTCTTCACAAGTTTTTTAGAACATTTTTAATACAAAGTGTCGTATTAACAAAACTCAATTTTTTGTAGGACATTTATTTTATAGGACAAATTTTCAAATATTGTCCTATAAAGTTGCTAATGAGACGTTTTATATTAAAAGTGTCTTAAAAAACTTATTAAGACGTCAAAAAACGTCATACAACGCCTTTAGGTAAGACGCTTTATTTTTTTGGTCCTATAAACTAAATCTTATAAAGAGGTCTATTAAGACACTTAGAAATTGGGAGTGTCCTATAAACCCAATTTTATTGTAGTATATGTTCATTGTTTGCACACCAACTTTAGTTAGTTACTGTTGCAATTGCAAAAAAACATCATGGTGATGTAAATTTCTTTGAGTTGTTGATTGTTTTAATGAATGTGGTTTGTGCTTCTTGCAAAAGAAAAGATATGCTCATAGAAAGTCAAAAAGAA